ATCAGGATATACCGCTTAGTTTAAAAGTTATTACGTTTTCTTTACAATAAGTAATTTGAAGAAAAAAAAATCTATACAAAATTTTAAAAAAATCTCAAAAATTTTTTGACCTCTTTTTTCTCGATAAAAATAGGTCTAGTTTCATCTATTTTCATATGTACACTTTAACGTGACTCACACTGTATAGTTATGGTCAGACAATGATATCTCGTCCGAAACATACCAGTTAGTGATTTTCCGGACTGCCTTCTTACATGCAAGGTCAATCACCTCTGCCCTCCGGGCATTGAAGAATATAGGTTTGTTACCCTTGTTAATAATATGTGTTTCAACACTCACCAGAAAATCCAGTAACCTCTCCNAGGCAGTCTTCAAGGCATTGGTAATTCGATCAGCGTCAAACTCTATTTCAAGCACAGAGTTGAGTTTGCATTTTGGTTCACTAAGTTCCGTCCTTAGGTCCCGTTTGAAGTCTTCCCAATCAGTGTTCCTGGGATTCCTTCTTTTAATTGCGTCTTTTCTTATAGGAGCATTATACTTAAAGCATATATAGTTATGGTCAGACAATGATATCTCGTCCGAAACATACCAGTTAGTGATTTTCCGGACTGCCTTCTTACATGCAAGCGTCAGGTCAATCACCTCTGCCCTCCGGGCATTGAAGAATGTAGGTTTGTTACCCTTGTTAATAACATGTGTTTCAGAACTCACCAGAAAATCCAGTAACCTCTCTCCTCTGGCGTTGTTGTTTGAGCTGCCCCACACAACATGATGAGCATTCGCATCGCAGCCAATGATGGTTTCCAGATCTTCTTGGTTGCCGTGTTGTATCAGATCCTGCATTTGCCTTGACACAGGATCTGCCTTTTCATATGGGAGATATGCCGATGCCACTATCACTCCTCGCAAATCCCCCTCCCTTTGGATCTTCACTGCTGTGAGATCCCTGTAAGAAAACCTGGATAGAGGAATCGCACTTATCCCATTTCTGACATAAATGCAAGTCCTCGTATCATTAGTAGAACAATTATATATTAACATTCCACCTGTGCCGCCGAGTCCTTTCACCTCACCTTTGTACAGGTAGGGCTCTTGGATTAAGGCGATATCATATCTTTTGACCTTGAGCTCTCGTGCCATGATGGCAGTCGCCGCTTTGCAGTGATGCAGATTAATTTGAACGCACCTTAAACCCCCGAAGAGAGCTGCAGACGTCAAATTCTGTCCCCGAGCTCGGTCTCCTCATCCGCGGAGATATCATACTCCAGCGGCGAGGACCGTCCCAGGTCCAGGTCAGCTATGGCTTCCAGCGAGCCTATGGATGCGGGAGACGGAGCGGCAGCAGGTTCATCTACCACCAGCTCCTCCTCCCCACCCCCAGTCCCTCCGGATAGCCCTTCACCCGCACTAGGTCCCGCTATCGGTTCCAAGGCCACCACCAATTGGTAGGTACTTAAACATACCTACTTACCTACTTGAAAGAAACAAAACAAAATTGATTAAAATATTTTGGGATTTTACTAATTTGTATTTCAATCCGTTCACGTGACATTATCACCTAAAATAAATTAAAAATGCATTAATATGTCATTATAAATCAATAAATAAATATTGTTTGAGATATAGAGAAGGCTTTGGGATTAATTATCTTATTTTATTGTCTGATGTTGATGTCAATTTATGTCTAAATTATTTCACTGGATTTGTTATTTCCTAATTATTTTTATTTTCTAACGATATTGACCGGCAATATCCTGGTTTCAACAATGAATTTTATTAAATTTTACGACGCACTATTTTTCAATTAACACGAGTGTAATAAAATGTGTTAATTAATTAATTTTTCGTTATCTTTTCAGGTAATGAGAGCTGATCATTCCAGTGCGATGGTTCTGGTAATCAACGGTAGTGAAACGTATTAGTGAGTCACGCGATAATTTAAACAATAGTTCTTTTCCTATGCAATAATCGTTCTACGAGGTATAGAAATAACTTCAAAATATATTTTTGGTACGTCTTTGGAGTTTTCTAAGAACAATAGGATATACATTTTATAGATAAACCATTTGAATGTTTTTTTAAATTTTAATTTTAGTAGGTGGTCAGGCCTTCATTATAGAGGCTCTATTTTTTTATAAAACTCTTTTTATTTGTTTAAAATTTCGTTTTAAATGCGACTCTAACTGCTAAATATTTTATTTCTAATAAAGTATGTTTTTTAAAGAGCATTGAATTCTTAGGGATAACTAAAATATAACGTTTACACTATAATACGGGATTTTTCAGCATAAACGTTTACGAATTAGTTTTAAAGGTTAAATAACCAAAGCAGGAGGTTTCCAAGGTTACAATTGACTCGTTACATACAGAAATCAACATCCGCCATTTTTGTATATTTTTTTATTATTTAAACACTAATCATCTAAAATGACCTCGATAACCAAAGTTCAATGCGAACTCACGTGACCTGAAAATGGAAACTAAATCGTTATATAATTGAAAACATAATATGCGCATATAATACATAAATATATGCTCGATTTGGCTCATTAAATGCTTTAATAAGCTATAGGTATTGTTTATGTATGATCCTAAACATACTTCTTATAACTGGTTCTTACCAGTTATAAATAAATAATCTTAGTGGATTAAATTATTTAATGAGTTTATAATAATAATTAGATGACCCTTTAATAAGCGTTAGCTACAGAGCCGTAACTAGAGTTAAATGTAATAGGGCAGCGTTAATCATTTAGAATAAGTAGCAAAAAGGTGTGTCGATATTAGTTATTAAGGTAGCTGTACCTTATATGCTGATATAGTCTCATTATTACTTCTTCCTTACTATGCACTGGCATAAAATATTAAAATTATCCTGTAGGTTAAAGAAACTTAGGGGCCATTCATTTATTACGTAAGACGATTTAGAAATTAGAGATTTCGAGGTATTTTCGCTTTGAATCATTCTGCAATTTGGCGTCGAAACAAAACCTCTCCTTCAGAATGTCGAGAGCACAATAGACTTCACACTTTTGCAAAATAGCACTAATTACAAGTAAATAGGTGTCACAGTTTTTCGTTTCATGAGCTATCGTCTGTAAAAACACATAATGTAGGATTGTAGTTATATTTTTTTCTTAGCTATGATTCACAATGATACCGATATTCTCTTTCATAATCATTGTAAGCTTGTGCTCAAAAATGTGCATACCTTTCTGTAGTACTGCGTACTATGTTAAGCAGTCCAATAGGACTCTATTCAAAATAGGCTGTCACTTGGTGTCGTGTAGCTCAATCAATCATCGTGATAAATTATCACTAATATTGCTATTGTTCGATAGTATCCCTGAGTCACCTTGAAGGTATTAAAAGTATTATACGTTTAAAAGTAAAGGTTAATGCAATATGAAAAGTAATAGTGTTTTCAACTAAAAAGTGCTTACTTTAAAAGTAATATATTATTTCTTTTTGATAAGTGTTTACAAGTATGACGTAGGATCAAAGTTCAAGTCTTAAGTATGTTTTATTCAATACCTTTGTATGTTTAACCTTCAAATATAAATATTATTTATCTTGAAACTTGATTTCAAATGATCTTCTTAATCTTTTTACAAGATTCTTGCCATTTACAACATACTAATTAGATTATATTACACACTTATTGAATCGATTTCTCTTTTTATAACTCGTTAGGTTATAAATGTAGGCATTCATTGTATTAAAACACACGTATATTGAACATTATTTCTAGTCTTGACTCACTTTGACTAGAATCACTTGATTAATGAATTGAATGGATTGACTGTCTAGCAAGATAGACAGCAGTAAAACAAGTAATTCACACCTACATAAATTGTTGGTAGTAATAAATATAAAAGGCTTTGAAGAAAGATTGACACTTGAGATTGTCGTTAAAAAATAAAAATTGCATTTTATCGGTTAATGACATTCTGCTGCTGTTTATAACTAATTACAAATCGCCTAGATCTGGCATTCATTCTACATTGGACTTATGCCCGTATTCACAAACTATGAGGTCTCACAGTGCGCGTGGACGCACAGGGTGACACACGAACCAATAACAGAGCTCTGTTCAACGTTCGTTCGATTTGCTGCTTCACTTAAGCAAGCATCGTTTGTGAATACGGACGTTAGTCCCATACAATCATCATCATCATCATCTCAGCCACGGTATCAGCCATAGGACGTCCACTGCTGAACATAGGCCTCCCCATGTTACCCGGTTCTACCAACCGGGTAACATGGGGAGGCCTATGTTCAATCATCATCTCAGCCACGGTCTCAGCCATAGGACGTCCACTTCGAACATAGGCCTCCCCATGTTACCCGGTTGGTAGAACCGGGTAACATGGGGAGGCCTATGTTACNTTCACTCGCACTAGGTCCCGCTATTGGTTCCAAGGCCTGCTCCTCTGTCCGCGGGCAGTCTTCCGGGACCGCCACCGCATCCCCACGCTGTTCAGCCGATAAGATAAGATAATGAAAATGTATAGTATGGTACTCTTGTCATTTATGGAATGAATGAATATTCCCTGAGGGCTGAGTGTGAGTGTAAGCGCGTTTAAAAATGTGTTGGAAATTTAGTTCTTGAAAGTTTACGTTAGGGGCGCTGTACAATCTGTCATACATTTATTGAAATTTTTATCTACACTAATATTATAAAGAGGAAAACTTTGTTTGTTTGGTTGTAATGAATAGGCTCAAAAACTACTGGACCGTTTTTAAAAATTCTTTCACCATTCGAAAGCTACATTATCCACGAGTAACATAGGCTAAATTTTATTTTGGAAAAACATAGGGTACAGGGGTCCACGCGCGCGAAGCCGCTGGCGGAAAGCTAGTTTTATACATATAAACTCACACTCAGCCCTCAGAACTTACAGTCCAGTGACTAAATTGGTTGCAGTGGTCACTTTGAAGTAACTTTAAATCCGCATTAGGTATTTGGAGCAAGGGATGGAAATAAAAAGTTAAACTCATTTAAATTCATTTAACATTTTTTATTTGTGCTAGTTTTGACCTAATTTCTGCTGGGAATTTGTCTACAAAATTACTTGCGCAATTCAAACAGTATGTTTTTAAATAAAATAAACTGCATTCTTTACTTATACAGACAGCATTATTGCATATGGCACAGTCTGCACCTAGAACCAGAATTTCTCCTTTGCCATTTGGACTGAATGGGTCTTTCATTACATAACCGGGGTATTTGAGCACAATATTCCGGGAGAATGGTGGGCTTGTCCCCTTGTAATGTACCTTCTCTTCAAGATTGCATGATGCACATTTAAAATCATAAATTAACTGTACAGCCTCTTCTTTGGATTTTGGTTCTTCCATTTTTACTGAAAAAGAAAAAATATATGTAAGTAATCTTAATTTCAATTCCTAGAATCTTAGATTTTTTGTAGCTAAGTTACATTAATATTATTGAATTTCATTGTCTTTGATTGTATACAATGTTTACTATTTACCTATGTGAATAAAAAATCTCACAGGTTTTATTCTTGTTCAACTTTAGTGGCAACTTTTTCTCTAGGAGCTTCAATAGGCCACCAAGAAGGCTTAAAAACTTCAGCTGTATATTTGCCAATATTGAGTGTTTTAGCATCAAGCACCTCTTTGATTCTAACTAAGCCTATACCATAATCATGTACAAAACCTCTCAGTTTCCCTAAATTAGATTTTGGATTACTGCTACTAGAGACAGTGCTATCTTTAGTCAAGTCATTTTCTACTTTCTGACTAAATTTTAGAGGCATTATCCTTTTTCGAACAACACCTGTGTGGTGGACTCGAGCTGTTAACTCTTGACCAATGTAACAACCCTTATGAAAGCTGACTCCGTGCAGGTAATCACAATTTACTTCAAGGGGAAAACATGTACCAGGAGGGAGATCGGTTGATCCTTCACTGACGCCCAATTTATATCTTAAATATTGATACTCAGTGTCAGTGTTTTCAACAGCAATGTCCTTGGATAGTTTTCCAGCTATTTGGGCACCATCCATGTCAGTAGTTGATAACACTCTAAATCCAAGGTCGGCTAGTCGAGGGTCTTTATATACGTTTATGTTACTCTCAGTGTTAATATTTGTATCAATTACATCATCACTCTTTGTGATCAAGGCCCATAATCTGAGTTTCTGATTAATATCTTCAATGTCGACCTTTCTCTTCAACTTGAAGATTTTTAAATGCTTCTGTAGCATAGGAAGGACTTCTTCATCGCATTCTATCAGAAATGACTCTGCGCCCTCCCATTTGTGTATCAGAGTGTCGTATAGAACCCTACCTTTGTTATTCAAGAACATGGCATACATTGATTTAGATCCCTCTTCAAAATGCCGCATATCGTTGGTAATAAGTCCTTGCAGAAAAACAGGTGCATCATTGCCCTGGATTTTCAACAATTTTCTATTCTTCAACGGGAATAATCTCGCCGAAGGCAGATCACTGTGAGAGTGGCGCAACAGCTGATACACGACATTTCGCTTTAATAAAAGATTTACCTGGCGATAAGATATCATAGCTAGGACTTCCACGCACACGAAGGTTAATTTTGCTTATTATGGCAATTTTTATTAAAATATTTCATCAACAGAAATTCATCATCACCAACCAAACCAAATGTTTTGACATTGGCTGTCAGTGTCAGTTCAGTCAGCTGTCAGTTTTTTCTTCAAAGTTCGATCCTGGTTTGGAATTACGTGTATTGGCCGTACATTTTTAAGTTTTTAGACTGGACGATCACGTTGTTCATTTCCAAAGGCATGAAACTTTTATTTGCCTATGGGCGCGGGTAGTGTGGTTGGGTTGGGCTTATGTCGGCGACACTAAGCGGAAATCATAAGCTATGCTATACCTATTAAAGTAATTTTATCTATTTTAAAATCTAACTATGGATTTCCGCAAAGTAACGCTTGATATTAATTATGATAAAGGTAGCATATAAATTATTAAATTAATTACCTACTTCTTAAGTACAGTCGCAGAATGAAAAGGTTCGTCACCTTAGTGTCGGTTTTCGCTTGCACTATAGTCNCAGCCACGGTCTCAGCCATAGGACGTCCACTTCGAACATAGGCCTCCCCATGTTACCCGGTTGGTAGAACCGGGTAACATGGGGAGGCCTATGTTACGGCCTGAGTCCAGCGCTTTCCTGCTACCTTAATGATGTCGTCGGTCCACCTTGTGGGTGGTAGTCCCATACAAACGAGAGATCGTTATTGACTGGAAGATTGTCTTATAAAATGATACACATATTACGAACTTTGCTTATAAGCATGAGCCTATAGGTGTATGATCAATCAATCAATGTGTCGTAATAACAAATCAGCTTTTAGGCTAACACGGGAACACCATTTGCGTGCTCTGTGATCGATCTTCAGTAGAAGTTTCATTAAGTTTGGAGAAGATAATAGAACCTTTGTTAACTTGACGTTGAGATTGTTTAAAGATGTTCATATGAACTTTACGATGTTTATTTAAACTAACTTCAGCCCGTGATTTGCTTTTCATTTCATAAAAATACATATTTAGAAAGAAAGCTTTTCGTGAGCTTTCGTAGCCTTTAGGATAAGAAAGTTTTATTTTCTACAATAGTTAATGTAGTTGTTGTCATTTGTCTCTATTGGAATTCGAACAGACTACTTTAAGAACAATACCGGTACATACCACTCAGGATTGCAAGGACTTGAAAAAAAGCATAACATTGTGAACAAAATCTATGACACTGGCTGTATGGCTTTGCCTTTTTCTGCAAAAAGAAAAAAAAAACAAACAAATCATGACCAAAATTTACTCGGCCCAAACCGTGGGCAGTACCAGTTAAAAAAGTTTAGATAGCAAACAATCCCTACAATATTCGGATACATTTGCTGACTGCGCAAAAAACACTTTTATCATAATTTTTCAGGAACTCAAAAGAACATCTCATTACCGTTGTAAAAAGTACTTTGGAACAAAACAATACCGCCTTTTTAGGGGCGAAGGTGCGAACCCGGTTTTAACTGAAAAAATAAATTACTCTTGCAAAGTTTCAAATGTGCATTGTCAGCCAGTATAAAGGAGGGTAGAACAGTAACCCTTTCAGTGCGCGAGAGATGTTTTGTAAAACGATTGTAATATAAAAAGCAGATGTGGTTTGTGCCCTTTGACCTAAGGTCTTGAAAAGTTTTGGTTATTGAATTATCGAATTGTTTGTTCGTTTGTTTAAGTTTCTGAAGTTAAAGCTTTTTTGAATCACGGATCTATTATTTTACCCGGTTTCTTATAACAAACCTGAGGCAGTAAATTTTTGAATTTACCAATTTTGCATTAAACTGCTGCAATACCAGATAGGGATGTGAATAGGCACTTTCAGGGCTGGTATGTACCATCCTAGACTGCATCTGACAGTCATCCTGACTGTTCGCCATTGATACAAAAGGCGAACTTAATGCCATAAGGTTTACCAGACTACTAAAACCTTATGGCATTAAGTACCAATTTAAATGGCATTAAAGTTTAAATAAATAAATAAACCTACTGACTTCACCTGCCCCGTGGCAACGAACAATGCGAACTTACCGTAACGGGAAAATTTCGGGTAAAGGGCAATTACGATGTTAATTAAACGAAATTATTCAAGTGTAAATAAATAAATTAGACAGGATTTGTTTGGGAAGCCTTTCTGCTGGCAGACAGATTCCTGCTCGAGCTCAAAGGAGCACGAGGTAATTGCCGTGTGATTTAGCAAAAGGAGTCCGTATAGAAATTTGAATTTCGGAACCAGAAGTAACAAACGTTGTGGTGGAGAAGTAAATTAACCCAAAAAGTTACACTTACCTAGGTTATAGGCACTTACAGGGCAGATATGTACCATTCTAGACTGCATCTCAAATAACATCAGTACCTTTAAACCCCCCTCCCCCCGCCTGCTCAAGGGCTAAGGGCGGGGACTTTTGCTATGTTCACCTCCTAACTAGGATAAATAAAGTCCCGAAGTCAGAAATTATGTTCCACGGATTTCTCTCTACACCGTCGTTAAGGCGTTCATTGACTGGACTAATAAGAAAACAAATTCATTTGGTTTTTATAAAAATCACTGCTTTTTTAAACTTGGAATGAAGTAGAACAGAGCTGTATAAAACAAATGCCTACCAATCGTTGACGCAATCGAACAAAAATGGTTGCGGTTGAGTAACGTTAGTTAACAGATGTATCAATAGTTGTAATGCGCGTGCGACACACCGACCGAATGGAACACTTTCTTTGCTACTGCTTGGGTTGTGGCTCAAGTTACAGGAATTAGCGATTTGTTAGACCTAGATAAAAGTCAAACATAAACATATTTGTCTGTGTTTTTCCAGAACAAATGAAAAAGTAACTAACTTATTTTCGATAGAGACAGATTTTTAAAAATGCGCAAAAAGTTGCTCTACCAGATTTTTGGACACTTTTTCATGTTCGAACTTCTCGTTTAATTCACCTCACGAGTAAAAGTCCATTGTAAATGGTCCATTACAAAAAAGTGCAAAAGGTAAGTACACGTAAAATGTTAAATTTTACTGTTTCGGGGTACTTTGTGCCAGTGTGAGAAAAAATAGAGCAAAAATCTCCCTCAAAAGGTTGCAGTAAGTAAGGATGCAAGCTCGGAAATTTTGTAATTCAGTTTTCTTTTTTAACATTATAAATGTAATTTTTTCCTGCTTACTCATAGAGTATGTAAAACAATTTCTTTGTTATTAATTAAGTCCGATTTCAAAAAGCATTTCACTTCCATCTTGCACCACACTCCTCGGTCATTATCTGGCTAGCGCCGCACGATCGAGTTGCACAAGGTGAAAGAAGATAGTTTGAACGCTACGGACGTACAAACGACCAGTTTTTATATATCCAAGGTGTAATTGATGCCTTTGGTAGTTAATGCAGAGGTTTGGAGTCTGGTAGATTAGAAAATTAGAGTTTTGATTTGACAAGTTGTTTGGATGACGTGCGAGTTAACATTTTGAAATAGGCACCGTTATTTTGTTTTTTGACTTTACTAAATAGGTGCAGTCAACGTCAAATAGTTCGTGACACCCAAAGTGGCCAAATAGTTGACAACCACCTTATTCCAATTGTTACAAAGACGTGGTGCGAACTTTTTGGCGAGGTAGCTATTGATTTTCTTGCTTAGCTATTTTCAAGCATATTTGCACAATTTTTGGGATACTTTTTCTTGACTTCAAGAAACACTGTGTGATCTCTAGCATAGTCTAGTTTTCAGTGACGCTAAAAAAAGACACCTATTTTTCAATCGTAAATAATTAAAAAAAGACATATTATTATTGTCATTGTTGTGACTTGTGTGTGTCTGTGCAATACACAGAAAATATGTCAGCAACACGGAAAAGTTGTCCGGGATACTGCAAAAATTACGATTACATACATTTCACGCTCACACAACAGACAGTATTCAGGAAACAGTATATCATACACTGATCATTACTACTCCATCCATTCATCAAATACCTATTTCCTTATAATGAAGGAACGATTTCCCACTGCAATTTAGCATCTGTACACATGAATACAAGGTTGCATTTCAATTGGAGGGTAGCTGTTCAATTTCGCGTAGCAGTTCAACGTTGAAACCATCAATCGTACGCACGTTGAGATTGTAGACTAATGAAAGCTTGTTGCTTTGTTTGACTTATTTCACGTACAATAATAAATATTCAGTCTTTATCTTACATGGACAAAAGTTGGTAAAGCCTGGACAATCTGTCAAACTTTAAGTATTGAAATTGGACTGGAAAATGTAAGCGTTTTTAAACTTTGACAGAAAACACTGTCTGTGACGTCACATACGAGTAACACACGTGCTCATTATGACACTGCGTTTTGATTCGATAATATGACGTCACAAATCAATAATGAATTTATACGTATTTTCGGTGATATTGAAAAAAATACTTATTAATACTCATAAATACCGCAAATTTAACACGGATCTAAACGCGACATTTTTTATGAAGAAAATACATAGTTCTTACTGCTTGACATTTCGGCAAGTACGTTAGCTGTTTTGTTACAGCCGTGGTCACAAAAAAATCGTATTGAATCTCTATTTTATTAATTAATGCAAGTGTAGTGATGCGCGCATATTGAAATTGACAAGTAGTAGCGCTCCACTTTTCACTGTCACCGGCGGAATCCACTTTTTATATCCATAGCGACCGTGTTAGTCGCTAATAAATATGCAACGGGCAAGGCGAATCGCCATGCAACGCATTTCGGGTTGGTTAATTTAATGCTCATGCCATTTTTATATAACAGACGTCACGTTTGCGTTACGTTTGCATGTAATTTTGAGGCTTCCGGCGACTGGGACCGCAATTAACTGGGACCGCGGTCCCAGTCGCCGGATCCGTAAAAATTAAATAATATTCTTCCGGCAACTGGGACCACTCATAGATAACTTAGAAAAATATAATATTCAGGCCAAAATCGGTACAGTCATACGAAAAAAAATTCTAAATTATTTATATGAATATCATTGACTCATTCTAGATATGATTTTATACTATGCGCTTAGCAATAAGTAGATTAAGTTAGGCCATTTTTACATACATTAATAGAAATATTAATATTGGACTGAATACT